CTCGGAAAAAAACCTTCAACACCTGCAGTAGAGATCAGTCGGAAGGTCATTGGTTCAAAACCCGTCCATGTCCTGTTATTAATGTTTTTTTGTCGTACGATGATAACGGAGTTCCAAAACCCGTCCATGTCCTGTTATAAATGTTTTTTTGTCGTACGATGTTCAACACAGGCTGAGTCTAACTCCAGATGGCGCTCTAACCATAAGAGCAGCTCTCCCAGAGGATGCTGGGAACTACACATGTCTGGCGACCAATGACGCTGGAACGGCCTCTCAGTCCGTGACGCTGGTTTTTACAGGTAAAGCTGACGTCATTGGTGGAGGACGGTGATGACATCACAGGTTGATGTTGATGACATCACATCAGGTGGACGTCACCTGACTGTGACCCAGATGTACCATATCTGTCTTTGTTCACCAGAGCTTCCAAGGATAACGGTGCTCCAGCAGGTGGTGCTAGTGTCCGTCGGTGGCGATGCCGTTCTGGAGTGTCAGGCCTCAGGTGCCCCCCCCCCGCTCATCCACTGGTACAAAGGTGAGTTCATGGTCCAGAGAGTGTGTGTGAGTGTGTGTTAGTGTGTGTGTGAACCACCATGTTTGTCTCCCCCGTGTCTCCAGGGGAGCTGGAGGTGGGCTCCGCTCCTTTCTTTCACCAGGACCCCCAGCGGGGGACTCTTCAGATCCAGGGCGTGCAGGAGGTGGACGCCGGTCAGTACCGCTGTGTGGCCAGCAGCTCAGCTGGAACCACCGCTGGTCGGGTGACCCTGCAGGTCGGATGTAAGGACAGACCTCCGTCAGTCTTTCCCTCAGACAGGAAGTCCTGCAGACACAGGGAGGTTGACCTTCTCCTCCCGTTGCCTCCACAGCTGCTCCGATCTTCTCTGAAGCTCCGGTCGACGTCGCCGCGAGCATCGGGGAGAACGTCACTCTTCCCTGCGTGGCCCGAGGTTTTCCATCGCCCACGGTGACCTGGCTGAGGGCGGACGGCACGCGGGTTCCTGAAGGAACCGACGGCTACAGCAGGATACGTCAGCTGGAGGACGGACACCTGTCAATCAACGGTGAGGTCCTGGGAGTCAAAGAGTCAAAGAGCCAGAGAGTCAGAGAGTCAAAGAGTCAGAGAGTCAGAGAGTCAAAGAGTCAAAGAGTCAAGGAGTCAAGGAGTCAAAGAGTCAAGGAGTCAAGGAGTCAAAGATTCAAAGAGTCAAAGAGTCAAGGAGTCAAGGAGTCAAAGAGTCAGACAGTCAAAGAGTCAAAGAGTCAAAGAGTCAAAGAGTCAGAGAGTCAAACAGTCAAACATTCAAACAGTCAAAGAGTCAAAGAGTCAAAGAGCCAAAGAGCCAAAGAGTCAAGGAGTCAAACAGTCAAACAGTCAGAGTCAGACAGTCAAAGAGACAAAGAGTCAAAGAGTCAAAGAGTCAGTCAGTCAGTCAGACAGTCAGACAGACAGTCAGTCAGACAGTCAGTCAGACAGTCAGACAGTCAGTCAGTCTAACAGTCAGTCAGTCAGTCAGTCAGTCAGTCTAACAGTCAGACAGACAGTCAGTCAGACAGACAGTCAGTCAGTCAGTCAGTCAGTCAGTCAGTCAGTCAGTCAGTCAGTCAGTCAGTCAGTCAGTCTAACAGTCAGACAGACAGTCAGTCAGACAGACAGTCAGTCAGTCAGTCAGTCAGTCAGTCAGTCAGACCCGCAGAGAGTCAAAGAGTCAGAGAGTGACCCAGTGACACTGACTCCTCTGACGGTCACTGCAGGTGTTTGGTTGGACGATGGAGGTCTGTACGTCTGTGAGGTCGTCAACCAGTTTGGAAGAAGCAGAACTGAGGCCAGAGTCACCGTCACTGGACTGGGTAGGCTGTGTCTGTGACTGTGTCTGTGACTGTGTCTGTGTCTGTG